TAGCACAGTCGTAAGAAGTAGTACGCTTGCTTTGTTGGTTATACAGACAGCTGGTGCTGTATAAAAGCTATCAATTTCATGCTACTTCATTAAAAAAATTATTTCACAGTCTTTTGCGCCAACCACAACCTCGGTCGTGATACCAGCTGGCCAAGCGGAGCGACAGTAGATTTTGACATTTGCTGGTTGACTACACCATCGCTGCTTTCCTGAGCGCTAAATATAACTTTTGTTAAGGAGGCTTGAAAGTATATTTAGTTTTGTTTTTAATAAATACTTCCCTGGCCACAATTCGGGCGATTTTGTCATATTTAGTCGACGCTTCCTTACTAAGACCTGGCAACACTGATTTTGTCATCCGGGTTCTGGGCAGGGAAAAGATAAATTCAGCTGCCTCAGCAATGCCAGCGACGACCCAAATTACATTTGTGAGTATAAGTTACTGTTCTTTTGTACAATTGCCTTATTGTTCATACCTTTCACGTGCACCTTAATCAACCGCTTGCCGTAGTGTGCGAGTATTCGGTGAGTAAGTTAGACGAACAGTTGCGGCTAGTCACGTACGTGCGACCAGAGTGATCGATCTTTTTTCTTTCGATTCGAGGGCAGAAAGTAAAGTACAGGTAACCTTTATTTGCAATATGTGTAAGCTTACCACAACACGACGGGAGTCTATGTCGTCTACCTATGTCTCGGGTATCTTTTAGAAAAGTGCCTGCCTGTCACCAATTCAAATTATGAGCCTGGGTGTCAAATTTGTGCAGTGAATCGGCAGTGTGAGCTAAATAGTGCATACTCGTAGCATATGTCGCACCATTTGGAATAACCGCGCCTTTATGATGCACCTGAAACAAAGCCGACTACTTTAGTCTGCCATGGGTTCAGCGTGGCCATTGTGTGGAGCGTGGCCCATTTAATCTAGAGGCAGTTCTCTGTGTGGGAGGTTAGTACGCTAAACAAGGCTTGTGTAACTTGCTAGTCACATTAGGTAAAATGATCAGTGACGTGTAAAAGCTTCGTGACGTCAATACGAGCAAATAAAAGTAGCATCAACATTTATGTCAGTTACTTCGCTGCAAAGAGAGTTGTGGTGGTGATTATGTTGCTACTTGCGGGGTTAGCTTGGCAGACAACAAAAGGAGGTCTGAGTTACTTTTTCGTTTTTTCTTGCTTTGCAAGCCCAACAATATATTTCAATTTGTTTTGAAAATTCACTCGTGGCGAGTCAGAAACCAAATATAAAATTTCAAGTAATAATAATCTGAAGACCTATGTTTGCCTTGTCTGTTAGCTTCGTGTGGTTTGAATAATGTAAACGCCCCCCATTCCTCATCGAGTGATGCTGCTTCTACGCACAAATGTGCCAAACTAAGTTTCCTTCACCATCCTAATAAAATCAAAGTAGATTATACCATGCTGCATCAGAGTCCCACGTTTGACAGTGTGTATCAGTGGAAATAGCATTGCTGGTCTATACATTTGCCGCTTGATTTCGAAGCCACCAATCTGACAGCCATACACTAAGGTTTATTTTAATACCTGAACAGTGCTGGCACGTCATATGTGCTATACTGCATGCAGCCAGAAACCAGATGGAATATTTAACCACACAGAGGTGGGAATTCAGTTATGGTGAAGAAGTTGTGCGCAAGTTCACAACAACCATAAAGCCGTTAAAATTTTTGAAACAGTGCTGTAATAGCGGGGCTAATTGCGTTTGATTATCTGATCACAGTAATCACTACTTTCATTCTTCTTTTTCACCACCCTTCGTTGGTGTTTCTCCCGAAGTCGCTTTGCCCTCTTGCTGAGCACCTCTCCCAATCTTGCGCGGCATACATCATCGATGACACATTGCTTCAAACACTGTCTTGTTATGGTTGCCGCGACTCCACCCTCAGTCAACTGTGTGCTTGTTGGTGAATCGCTGTTGCTGTGCCAGCCGGTGCTTATATGAATAGTGTCGCTTTGAACCCTGTCCTACGGACCACAGTACCTGATTTGCAACACGTGCATGCATGCGGGCATCTCGACAAACGACGAGTGGCGTGGACAGGTTCTTCCAGGCTAACAGGATGTCATAGGTGCTCGCTTGACCAATTGCAGCATATTTATTCTGCACGTCAGATTCAACTTCTTGATGTGACGTGCCAGCCCGAAAAGCATGGGGGGATTGTTTCTTGGAATTTGTGGAGCAATGGCGGCTTGTTGCGGTGCCACGTGGAGAATCATTGATCATGCAGCATTTTGCATGTGATGCGCGTGTTTCCTTCGAACGTTCGAAAAAATATTATAGGAGGTAGTTTAGGGGCCCTCTAAACGAACCGGAGCAGTCGCCGTATTTTAAAATAAGATTGCTTCAGTTGTTTGCTATTCATGAGGTGCAGGGTGGCTGAGAAGAGGCTATCGCGAGACACAGCTGGGGGCTAAGGGCACTCTGTTACTTTACTGCAAAGTGTATAATACTAGAAACGGCCTATTTCGACGTCGGGGTTAATTTGTAAGCGCTTTATTTAGAGTTTGAGTAGATTGAATGAAGGAACAAGAGGAATTAAAAAGCTTGTAGACAAGCTAAGAGATTTCGGAAATGCTTTCAACACATGTAAAATTATAAAATGAATACAGTACATCATTAATATTTGCACGTGTTGTTTTTCAAAGTTTGAGATTGCAGATTGGGATGAGTTCCGCCATTTATTTGTGTCTTGAGTAGATGCTAGGTGGATTTGCATTTCGAACGAGTCATTTGGTTGTGATTTTCGCAGTAGAATTATGGTAAGTGAGGTGCAAAACAGGCAAATTCTATTCTTTGGGCTCAAGCGCTTCATTTCAATTGAGTCCCTCTTGTTGGGATGCCATTTTGTCTCCTTTTTATTGACGCAATGCGGCCTCCACCCGTTCTGTGCGCCTTTCATGGCTTTTTTCATGTCTTGACCATGAGAATAGCCTTAACCAATCTAGTGTGGCTCCATTTTATTCTTTTGTTTCATGTCTTCCTTATTCTAGATAGAATACTTACAAAATAGCCCCTCGGATTTATCGCACCTCTAATTTGAAATGAAACTTTTTACTATTTCTTTATATTTCTAATAAATAATGCTTTGCTGCTGTAGTCTTCAACGTACAATATATAAAGCATTAACACACAAGTAAAACTTTTTAAACTTTTAGTCTTCTGTGCGTTAAAAAGAAAAATGAAAAGCAGCAAGTAGGTGCTGATTAGCTGGTATTTCATTCAATACATATCCATAAAGCACATCCATAAAGTAGGTGCTGATTAGCTGGTATTTCATTGAATACCCTTGGGGGGGGGGGGGGGGCATGTGCCCGTAAACAGCACAGTAGGTGTAAAATTTTTTGGGTTCACGTCATCACTTTCGGGGCTTATTTGAACCTTACCATTTCATGCTGTTTGCAGCAGGGCAGTTGTGTGTATGGCCTACTGAACATTTGCGAAACCACCTTTGTGCCTAAGCAGTGGGAGCGCACCCGCAGTTAAGGATAACAGATTTTCCAGAACAGCAATTTTTCAGTTTTGAAGAGTGTTGTTACACTTGAGATATCTATTAACAATTTACGGTACACAAAGGTGGATAAAGATTTTTTATGAAGGAGGATCACCATTTGGAATAACATATTTGCTCTTCTTGGGGTGTAAAAAAAATAACAGGGGGAGGGTCACAGCATTCGGTTTGCCCTTATGAAATCGGTCACCCCCTCTGAAAGAGCACATGAAATGCTTGAAAAGTACCCACAGTGAAGCGACACGTGTGCAAACCACACCACCAACTGTTACATTATAAAACTCCACCATAAAAATGTAACAATAAGCAACATATTCGAGCACAACCAGTCCATTAAATCGAAATCGAGGACATGCAGAAACTACGTGACTAATATGTAATTGTTATCGCAATGTAATTGAGAAATTAATGCTGTAAACAGCAGCAGAGGCAAGCATGAGTAGCCGTGATGCAGCGTTAAAGCTCGTGCACAAGGCCGGTTTGTCTGTGCCTGCATTCACACGGTGCAAAACTGTTTCATTCCGGCATAGCATAAAATAACGTGCTGTGATGAGTGCCAATGTGGTCCCACATTTGGATAGAACGAAGAACATAAACAGGCATTTATATGTAAGCAGCAAAATAAGCAACAGATCTGGCCCTTCGTGTCAGCCACGAGGAAGTCTAATAACATAGAGGTTGATTTCCTGAAAATATTTTTGTAGCATCCCAGTTCCCTCAGTCTGAACAACATGGCACACAAAAATTTGATAGCACTGCCGCCCCATCTGCCACCACAAGTTAATATGAACATTTCGGGCCTGCACAGGTGGAGCACGCCCAGCCTTCAACATTACAGAAATGCGCTCGGTGTCAGCTAGATCGCAGCAGATCCTACACAAGGTCTGTACAACGTTGTCGGGTGTTTTAAAAACACATCAGTTTTCCAATTATTCCTTTTTTTGAAGCCTAGCAGGTGTTGTCGTCCTGCCATGATAGCAAGAAATTCTTTTTTTCTCGTGCTGTTGATCTGTGGTTTGCATTATTTTTGCATCATTTTTATTTTTGCACTATTTCTGCATCATTTTTGAGGCAGCAGCTTTGTTAAGTGGTTCTTGGTTCCTATTCTGATTGCTTCCTACTTGCTCTGCAGCTATCTGGATACAGCTATCTTCAGGGCACGTGTGCGGCTCATCAAATGTCAAGTCCATTGGCCTGTGAATCGCCTACATCCACGACGTCATCATCCGAAAGAGGGCGCCTACTACCGTGACATCACAAGGATAAATGACGCTTCCCGTGGAAGTGCATCATTTTTGAGGCAGCCGCTGTGGCAAGTGGTTCTTGGATCCCATTCTGATTGCTTCGTACTTGCTCTGCAGGTTGGTGTCCTTGTTTTCTGCTCACGTTAGTGTGTTCTCTTTTACCGCAGCTGCTGCCTCCCAGTGCGTGTTTATCTCAGTTTGTGTGTTTGCTATCGTTTGTGTATTTGCGGTCATGCCATCCAACGCAGAATTGGCCAAAAAAATTGAAGCACTTGAGTCTTTAGTTCGCTCTAGTCTTGATACCCTTGCAAATGAACTAACAGCTAAAATTAAAGAAAAGCTAGCACAGGAAGGTCTCGGGGAGCATGCGTCCCTCAGTGATAGTGTTCAGTTTCTGTGTGACAGTTTCGACTCTGTCAAAACAAAGCAGGATGAATTGAAACTGATTAACAAGGAACTAGTTGCGCAAAACAAGGCACTGACTAGAATGGTTGCGGAGTTGGAGCAATACTCGAGGCTCAATAATGTTGAAATTAAGGGCGTTCCGGTCACTCAGGGTGAGGACTGTGCGGCCATTGTGATGCAGATTGGCGAAGCTATTCAGTGTCCTGTCACGCCCAGCGACTTTGACACAGTTAATCGCGTTTCAACGAAATCAGATGAAAAGAACATTGTTGCACGGTTCTGCTGCCGCGAAAAGAAAGACGACTTAGTTCGTAAAGCGCGTCAGACCCGCCCGAACACTTCTGATGTTAGCTTCTCCGGTGGCTCAAGTAAGGCAATCTATGCCAATGATCACCTGTCTCCAGAGAACAAAAGATTGTTTACTAAGGCCCTAAACCTGAAAAAAGCACACAAATGGCAATTTCTGTGGACAGACAATTGCCAGATCAAGGTGCGGAAGTCTGGTGATTGCAGAGTATATCGCATTATCAAAGACAGTGATCTTAGCATCTTTTCATAGCCACTGAGTCCTACGCCCATTTTCGTGCTGAACACTCGTTCACTTTCATCTTATCATCATAGCTTTGCTATCCCCTGACGAGGCTAAACATATGCTAAGTGATAGTAATCGCTCCTTGGTTCACTTCAACGCGCGTAGCCTCTGCAAAAATTCGGATAATATTTATAACTTTATATATTCACTCGCGCATTCTTTCTCCATCATTTGCATCTCTGAAACATGGCTCTGCACTTATGACGTCAATCTGTTCGGCCCGTCACCGTACGAAGCTGAGTACTGTCACCGTTGTTCAGACGGCTATGGCGGCTCAGCAATATTTATCGCCTCAGATCTGTCCTACACCCGCCGACAAGATCGTTCCTTAGGCATTTCGCATTGCGAATCCGTGTGGATTGAATTAGATCATTCTTTTTTAAAAGATAGTAACAACGTTATTCTGGGGTGTATTTACCGTTCGCCTTCTTCGAATATGAGGAATTTTATTTCTCGCCTGGATACAATTCTGCATAAGTTATCGTCTGAAGGCAAGCGCATTGTGCTAGTTGGAGACATCAACATCAACTTTCTTAACACAGGCAATCATGCATGCAGAGAATATAATGACTGCTTCAGTGGATACGGTTTCGAGTATCTCATTTCATCTCCATCATCATCATCACCGGTGTGATCCATCATCATCCGGTGTGATGGACCTAAGATACGAAGTTTCAGAAAATATCCATCAAGCCATTGTTGGAAAAATACAATGCATTTTAAAAACTTGAGCACCACGAAATTAAAAAAAAAACTTCAACCATAATTTTCTCCACTGATATTTAACTTGTGGCATGAGAGGTGTCGTATGCAGCGTGTCAGTCTAAACTGACACATTGGTTCTCTTTAGTGTACCATTAAGAAAATATTGCCAACTGATGATGCAACACCAGTCACTGCAAACACTGTTTTCAAGCAATATGTCATTTTATGCAAAGTAAACACCAAAGGTTCACTGACATTTTAGTCCTATCACTTTGTTGAACTTGGCCTTGTCGTTGACCTCGTGTTGTAGTGCCTGAACAGCAGTCATGAGTTCTTTTTGGGGTATGGCGTAGCATTATTATGATTCGTTTCTATTGCCCAATTCAAGGGCTATTGTGATATTTCTGCGGCAGAATGATCCGAAGATATGCAGTGAATTTAGCTTAGATGTCGAAGACTTGTACTACTGTGAATTTGGGTCGCTTTGTGACAGATTTGTTATGTTTTTTTTTCTTCTTGGAAAATCGTCAATATAAAAGTAAATGAATAATGGCAGAACGCTTATAAAACCTTCCCTCGCACTACGGAGTGTTCTATTGATCCACATTTTTAATACAAATGGCTCTATTGAGGTGGGGAGGTGAGGTGGGGCAAATGAATCTTCATCCTGTGGGGTAGCTTTGTTACAATGTTGTTTTTGGCTGAATATGATTGGGAAAAAAAGGCTAGCACAAAGTTGCACAATCCAAAGTTCATTTGAGTTATCTACAACTGGTTTCTGTTCTAGCAACCTCACAGTTGTATGAAAATTTGTTTATACTAGTACCTCCTCAATCAAGATGTTTTACCTCAGATACCTTGTTTGCCTAGTAGATTCAATTGAGTACAAAATTGCGCCTTCACAGTCCTGCCATCTCCAGTTTTTTTAGGGTCCTCCCCATAGTGCTGATGATGTGCCTGTCAGGTTTGACTTCTATCGCTCATCCCAGGTAAGGGGGTCGTTTAATGTTTTCTATGTTGAAGTTATCCTTCTCCAAGGTTTTTTTCCAGAATCCGCACCATCGAATCGTAAACGTTGCTAGTATATGGAACGAGCGTTGGAGTTTCCACGGCCACCCTGGTAGTTAGAGCACGCAAATCTCAGCTGCTCCCGCAGACGAGAGTGGCGGCTGATAGAGATGGTGCTTGCGTGCATCGCCGTAACAAAACCCAAGGAGTAGATACTTGGGCTGGTTGGTATTGCATTTTTTTAAAGACATATACTTCCTCAGAGCGCAGAGAATGTTTCAGAGGGAATATATAGCAGAGAGATAAGACACAGCGCACACTTACAGCCAATTTTATTGCACAGATGGCGGAAATATATATACGGTCAAGATGTCGAGGGGATCACGCACAGAAGAGAGGACAAACGATGGCGCACGCGCTCGACCACCTCATTCTATTCTTAAAATGACAACTTAACTGAAAAGAAACCTATCAATCTGTCGAATAGTGAATACAGGTATATTTTTAGTCAAGTTGTTATTTTAGGACTAGAATAAGGTGGTTTGGCGCATGCGCCATCATTTGTGCTTTTTTCGGTGCATGACCTTCTCGCCCTCTTGACCGTATATACATTCCCGCCATCTATGCAATCAAATTGGCTGTAGATGTGCGCTCTGTTCTATCTCTCTGCTATGTCTTCCTTTTCCAATAGAGGCGGAAATGGTGTAGGCCCGTGTGCTCAAATTTGGGTGCACGTTAAAAAACCCCAGGTGTTCGAAATTTCCAGAGCCCTCCACTACGGCATTTCTCACAATCATATGGTTGTTTTGGGACGTTAAACCTCACATATTATTCAATGCTATATCTTCCTTCTGAAACGTTCTGTGCGCACTAACGAATTATATTTCTCTCAAAAATACCAAAGTGCACTGGTGGTACTGCTGCGTATTCAAGTGCTACAGTATGTAAAAAGGAGGACGTATAGAGGAAAGGGAGAACGTAAAAAGAGGAGGCAGCATTGCATCCAAGTGGTCAGCCGAAAAAAATTCTGCTCTCGCTCTTCTTTCTCTGTCTGGCTCGTTTCTAAACCGGAACCACGTGTCTGCTATACTTATTCGAATGTGAAGGCAGCCACCAGTGGAAACCAGGGCCAAACAGTCTAGTATACACAGTGTTTTGCCGGAAATTAAACGAGAATATTATGCAATAAACGGCACTGTAAACTTTTTATCTGGCTCGATGATCGTTGAGTAGTGAACTTCAAGACTAACAAAGTTTCCATGCGTCCGTCCATTTACCCATCACCAAACTCTATCTGATACCACTGCGTGTAGTGAACGAAACGATAGGCAGGTTGTCTTTTTTTTGTAAACAGTTGCGTGTAAAGGAAAGCTGTGTTGCCCGCAACACTTGTGCAGGGCCACGTTCATACGCCTCTGAACTGTTATAAAAGATACTCTCGCGGTAAACACTCGATGCCGAAGTGCCTCTGTTTAACTTAATTTATGCAAAAGACGGGGTTCTTTTTTTACTTTATTTTATTTCTCTTTTTGTTACGAACAAAGGAGCGGACTAATCAAAGCTTAGCTTCATGAAGCCAGCCAATTCGGTAAGTGTTTTTCTCACTTACTGCCGCGGCTAAGTAACATCGGAATTTATGTGTTGCTAGAGAAGTATCAAACGTCTTTGATGTTCACTTGTTGTTTAGTAACCTAACACACAATTTCAGTTTTTTCCACTTGCCTGTGTCGGCCTAAAATGAACATGTCTGTTAAACAAGGATAATTGCTAGGCTTTGAAGTAACAAGATATTATTCTGAGGCACGCTGTGGGGTGCGTACCAAGATTGTGGCCACTTGGGGTTCTCCGATGTGCACTTATCTTTTGGTTCACGGGTGTTCTTTTTCTATTTCGTCCCCATCTAAATGCAGCCATTGTGGTCGGAGATCTATCCCGAGCTATCAAGCATAAGACCGCGACACCACCCGTGCTATGCTGTCATAGTGGTTTGCTTGATCAACGTCCACGTACATACATACCGCAGACAAGATGTACATATCCCGCCAGAAATAAAAGTGATGCCACAGCCACTACTTATTTGTTTTTTTACTACAGAAGTGCGCAGTGTAGTATCGTCGCGCACGGGCATATAAGCCCGTACTACCAAAGCACAAAATCCCAACCAAAAAATGATCACGAGGGAGTTGCCATCACTGCACAACACTGTCTCTTCAATGCCACATGCATCGATGCAGTCCTCTTTGCAGAGCTTTTCTCCGTTTTTAAGTGCTATTTGTGTGAGAGTAGCCTTCAGACAGTTTTTTTTAACCACAGTGCGGTATTACTGGCCCAATGGCTTTTAGAGCTGTTCGTTCCAAAATGAAGCACGGCAGCGCCACAAGTGCGTGCTCTCTCTGCAGCTGGTTGTCTGGGCACGAATGGCTTAGTTGTATCGCGACTCAAAGCCAAGTGCTGTTTTTTGGTGAGCCACCTATTCAGTACTAATCTCCTATGAAACCAAGACTTCGGATCAATGCAAGTCTCAAAAAGCACGTGAAATTTCGGATGTTTATTTAATGCGAAAAGAGCAACATAGGAAACCACATCAGCACATCTTTCATAGTATTTTGAGATACCATTTTAAAATTAATACAGGCGCGTTACAATCATCTACAATTGTCAGTGCTAAAATTGGGTTTGCTAGATATTTTCATCCTGTGTTGTCTATCTGGTGGTCAGTCATCCTCTTGTGCAGTATTAGCTCATGTGTGCCCACGAATAATCCAGAGTTGAAAGTTCGTGCGGTCGTGTGTCTTGTTGTCCTGTTATAAATTTATACAGCCATAGGCTATAGCTGCAAACTAGTTCACCTGGCTTGTAACCCTTTAGGTCATGTTAAGAAATCATGAAAGACCTTGTGTTTATTTTTAAATTAGTCAAACAAGCTTGTTTTATTCAACTTTCACTGAAACCTATTCCTAAGTATTTTGGTCTGTGGCACATTTTTTTTTTTGCAAAATGACTGTTGAAGTATTTGTTCATTTCTTTTCATATAGGCCACATGGCGTTTGATCTGAATAGGTAAATATAACGTCTCCAGTCATTCTTTTTCATTGTTTTAGCTTGTATATATGTTATACTTCTGTGCTTAAAACCTATTTTGAGGTGTTTATTTCTATTCACATATGCAGGTGTTTGAAAAAGCTCAGCGTTTCATCAAGAAGTGGCTGTTGAAGTTTGTTGGCCTTGATGGAGGTTAGGAAAGGCACTTCACA